GAGAACAAAATAAGATGTAGGCCTAGGCTGCCCTATAGTACTAGTACTTGTTTCTGATTGTGAGTATTTTGGTACAGCGCCAAACCGACGGACAGACAGAGGCTGAGCATGGAGTGGGTTTGGAAGCGGGTGTCCCCCTCCCAATGAGCTGGGCCAGGGGGACTGCTAGGGCCCCCACATGGGGTCTCTTTGTACTTGTCAAATCAGTGGGAGAGTTGGTATTGTTGTAATGTAGTGTAGGCTAGCCTAGGCCTACGGATAGTGAATTTCTGGATGTTAAATAGAAAATACACCGCGGCCGAATTGGTTCGCGGGCTAAACGGAATCATGAGCATAGTCGTAACTGTGTACTTCGATGCTAAACTAGCCCCTGCGTTCTAGGCCTACTATAATTATAGCTTACGTCATATCGGTAGTGTCAAACCAGCATAGGCTAGGCCCGGACGCATTCGGCCTTGACAGTGTATGTACTGTGGCCTAGGCCTAGCCTAGGCTAGAGAGTGACGTTGAAAGAGTCCATTAATGTGAACCATTAACATCACAATTAGCATCAAAATAATACATAACGTGTACTAAATATCTACATTAATAATTATTCTTACCAACATCTTGATCAAATGGAGAAGAACTACTAAATAAAGGCATTTTCTGTGCTAGGCTATCTCTCAATAAACTTATGATCAAATTAACTTCTACGCATGCTCAACAGAATATAAAAATTAGACCTCGTCATCCACTAATATTAGAATTGTGATGAAAATACACATGATTAACGTAAGTTATTAACTCAAGTGTAAATCTATATTGTGTTCATATTTTTATCATGATATACCATATCAACTAATTATGTTGACGAGCATTACATAACATTAAACATATTTATAAATAAACCGCTTTGTTTCGCATTTTGTATTGTAGTTCTTTGCACTCGACGCGGGGTTGACGTGCACGAAAAATAATAAATAAATGATCATCGGTCTTTTAAAAATGGCAAAGGTCTGAGCATAACAATCATCAAGAGTGGATAATGACCTCGAACACAGATACAACAAGTAAGCTACAAAAAAAATATATCGAACAATTTATTGTCTCATAAAGACAGTGCAGGATTAGCAATATCCACATTGCATTTATGTGATCTATCTGGTAGGACAAGTAACACTACACACGTGTGGGATTGTTAAATCAGCGAACAGCCTATCCTCCTAGACCTAGATTAGTCAAGGGGGAACGAGGTGATCGGGTCACGTAGCGATTGTGAAGATGGACAACCCGTACCATGTACTGAATGATTAATTATCAGGGGAGCATCCAGAATCCGAATGGCAGGGGTCCCAAGTTGGAAGAAGTCATTTCCGGGAGATTGCAATTTTGAAGTGGGGGTGGGTGGGGGACTTTCAAAGATGTAGTGTAGGTAAGGATATTTATGATTAATATGATACCTCGGAAATGACATTCTCAGACATAAATTTTAGAATATAATTTTCTTTTTTCCCCATTTTTTTTTTAATTTGCGAAAATTTAGGGGCCCGGGCCAGCTGTTCCCCCTTCCCTTTGCTTCCTCCACTAATCTGTAAGTTCTAAATTGTTATTAAGCAACTGGTCGAATAAATAAATGAAATGAAATGAATATACAAGATTTTATATAAAATATTTCCTGTTTTTAGTTAACTCCCAAAAGCTCAGAAAGGTGG